ATGATCTCAGGAAGAAGAAAACTTGAAGAGTTGAACATAAGTAGATAAATCAATAGGGAAAACAACAACAACATAAGTAAATGTGGCCTCTAGATTTAGGAAACAAGTTCAGGCATCTGTGAATAAGTACTGTAAAACAAAGGGAAATGAGTCAGCAGTCAACAAGACAGAGGATTCTATGGTATGTGAGGAGAACATGGAACCACAACACATTGTTCCTGAGTAGTTTGAAAGAGAAATGAGAATTATGAGAGAAGAATATATGGCCTGCATAGCAGAAATAATGGGCAGAATAGAAAAACAGAAAACATAAGAAAGAACAGTAGATTAGGAATGCAGATGTAGAGAAGTGAAGGATAATCTAGAAAAAGAAAAGCAAAAATCAGTAATATCAAAATAAAATATGCTCACTATTTAAGCAAAACATACTGATCTTGAAGACAGGTTATATAGATACAACCTAAGTATCATAGGTCTCCCAGAAGAACACAACTGTTAAAAAAAAAAACCTTAACACCAAAATGCAAAAAAAAATGGAGAACTGTCCAGAACTTCAGAACATAAAAACTGAATTACCAATTGAAAGAATTATTAGATCATCTCTAGAAAAAAAAGCCCAAGACTGCTAACTCCAAGATACATCATAATCAAATTCATCAATCAATTCAGAAATAATCAGTTCTTCAAACAATCAGAAGAAAGACCTTAAAATCCACAGGAAAGGAAATTATAATAATGCAAGACATTCTGTACCAACCAGAAAACATAGAAAGGAATATGGAAGAATGTGTTCCAAAGAGCAGTGGAACTCAGAATGCAGCTCAGAGTGACCTACTCTGAAAATCTGAGCTTAATGTTAAATTTAAAAAAAAACAAGAACATTCACCAACAAAGGTGTTTGAAACATTTTTAGAAAGAAAATAGAAATGACAAGATCATTTGCTTTTCAAACACCTCAAACAGCAGAAATGCAGGAAGAATAAATAAAAGCAGCAGCCAAGGTCAGGAAAAGCAATAGAGTAAACAGCAGAGAGACTTCTTTCTAAATACACACAAGGAGAGAAAGAGGTTAAAGCAGAAGTCCAGCGACATAACTGCAAAGAGGCAGGCCTGGAATGTTGAAACCCAGCCTACATGTGAATTAATTACTGTTTTCGTACTTACATTACAACATGGAATAGCACATGAAAGTGGGGGAGGGAAACTAGGGGGACAGAGAAGAGTGTGATGTGCAAGAATCAAATGAAGGGCTATCAATGAAGTGAAGGTAACCTCTGCAGTCTCAGAAGAAGAGCCTTCAGGATAGTGGGTGAGGAGGAAAGGGAAAGGGTGTGGGAGGGATTAAGGAGGCCTGGCTTTGGTAATGGGAAGAAGGAGTTCTACTGATGAATGTGCCTATGGATGAGGAGAGATGGTCTGTGAAAAGAGATGGAGACATGTTTTGGGTGTGATATGGAGGATTTGGAGCTTTAAAAGTCTACTCATCCTACCTTGGGGCAGAAGGAAGTTGGAACTCCTGGGGGCAATTGGCATATGAGGGAGTGGGAGAGCATGGACCCAGGTAGGAGATTTTGAGGTAAATGGGGGAAAAGAGTAACCAGTAGCAATATTGATCAGTTGTAGTCTACATAATCAGGGATGTTGTGGGGAGGGAAAGGGGGAATACATGGGACAAACTTTAAAAGACAACTGTAAAAACTACCTTCCCTACTGAGAAGAACTTAGAAAGGATACCTTGGAATTTTTAATACATGAGAAAAACTAAGAATAAAGACCGAATAATTATAGAGGGGTCATGAATCAGAGAATGAGGGTCTAGAGTAGACAGGAAGGAATACTAGATAATGGAGAGAGTTAGAAAAATCATTTTTACAAAGAGGAGCAAAAATGAAATAAAAAAAATTGATGAACAGGACTAGTTGAAGGCAGGGGAAAGGGGAAATTGAGAAGGAAAAAAAGGAGTGGGGAGAAAACACTTTTAACTAATTATGTATATATATATATATACATATATACATATATGTGTGTATATATATGAAACTATACAACAAGTATAAATAAACAGGAGAAAAAAATAAATGGCAAACTCTAAAAGGAAAGGGTAAGAAATGAAAAAATGGGATCAGAGACAAGTGAAAGAGAGTCAATGGGAATAGTGCCACCTTAAAGATTAAGATTAAGGTAAAAAGGTTAAGATAAATTAACTGAAGAACCATAGTACTGTGTTCACAAAAGAGTAGGGAAAACATACCCTGGTCTTAGAGACAAATGGAAGAAAATATAGGGCTAGCCATCATAACTATAAATGTGAAAGCATCAAACAATCCAATAAAATGGGAAAAAAGCCACATATTGAATGAGAAAACAAAACCCTATAATCTGTTGCTTGCATGAAATGCATTTAAAACAAATATATACACAAAATGAAGTTGAAAGGATGAAGAAAAATACTATGCATGAAGTTAATCCAAAAAAAAAGAAAGAGTTGCAATCATGTTTTCTGGCAAAGCAAAAACAATTATTCAAAAAATAAGAAGGGACAAAGTAGGAAATTACACTATGCTCAAAAAAAAAAAAAACACAGACAAGAAAGCAATATGTATAATAAACATATGATCCAAATGCCTTAGCATCCAAAGTCATAAAGGAAACATTATTTGAGCTTCAAGAAGACATATACAGTAATACAATAGTTCCAGGATACTTCAATATCCTTCTATCAATTTTGGATAAGTCTAACAGAAAGATAAACAAAAGGGAAGTTGTAGAACTGAACAAATTGCTAGAGAAACTAGGTTAAAAAGACTTATGACATTTTTCAAATGGGATTATAAAAGAGCATACATAGTCCTCAATATCACAAGAAAATTTTACAAAAATTGACCATATACTAGGCAACAGGGATATTGCAAACAAATGTAAAAAGGCAGAAATAGTTAACAGAACCTTTACAGACATAACACAATAAAAATAGTGATTGGTTTAAGAACCACAAACAAAAGATACAGACGCAAATGGAGACTTAACAATGAAATAATAAATAATGACTAGGCCAAAGAACACATCAGAGAAAAAAATGACTATGTAAAACAAAATTATATTGCTTAAACAACATACCAGAATTTCTGGGATGCAGCTAAAGGAATCTTCAGGGAGAAAAATTATATTCCTTATAATCATACACTACCAAAATAGAAGAGAGGATTAATGAACTGAATATTCATTTTTAAAATTAGCCAACAAATAGACAAATTTAAATAAGGAAATGTTAAAAATTTAAGGGGACATAGACATGTTGGAGAAAAAAGCATAGAAAATTATAAATAAAACTAAAAGCTCTTTTTTGGAAAAAAATAAAATTCACAAGCCCTTAGCTAACCTGATTTTAAAAAGAGGAGAGCAGAAAATCAGATCAATAAAAAACAAATAAACAAGGTGAAATTAAAAAAAAAGAGAAGTATAAAGACTAATCAGAATAAGTTATGCACAGTTATATGCTAACAAAACAGAATTGCAAAGTATTAAAAACCACATGAAAAAATGTTCCAAAATCACTATAGTTATACGAGAATTGCAAATCAAAATAACCCTGAGTTTTCTCCTCACACTGTGTAAATTGGGGGAAAAAAAGGCAACAATCAATGCTGGATGGGTTCTGGAATTACAAGCACACTAATTTATTGTTGGTGGAGCTGGGAGTAGGTAAAACTATTTTGGAAAATAATTTTTCAATTATGCAAATAAAGTGAATAAAATGTTCATACTCTTTGAGCCAGAGGTTTCACATAAACTATTGATAAGAAGAAAGGCCCCATATGCACAAAATATTTATAGCAGTGCTTTTTGTCATATGAAAGAATTGGAAACAATTTAAATACCCATCAGTTACAGAATGATTAAACAAATTTTGGCATACGTGTGTAATGGAATATTACTCTGATGTAAGAAGTAATGTGTGGGGGCAACTAGGTGGTGCAGTGGATAGAGCACTAGCCCTGAAGTCAGGAGAACCTGAGTTTAAATCTGACCTCAGACCAAACACTTGACACTTATAGCTGTGTGACCCTGGGCAAGTCATTTAACCCCAATTGCCTAAAAAAAAAGAAAGAAAGAAAAAGAAAAAAAAAGAAGTAATGTGTGATGAATACAGAGAAACATGCATATGAACCGATGCAGAGTGAAATAAGCAAAACTAAGAAATCAACTACAGAAATATAAATGGAAAATACAACTACACATCAAAAAATCAACACAAGTTAATAATCTATGTATAATGATATTGTTTGTATATGCAAATATACAGTTGTTTGTGTATAATTTGCATATTGTCTTGTCCACTAGATTGTGGGCTTCTAGGAATAACTGTTTTTGCATTTCTTTACATCCCCCAGTGCTTGAAATATAGTAGGTACTTACTAAATCTTTCTTGACTTCACTTGATTAGATAACACACAAAAGGCATAAATAAGTCTTACTTATCTTCTTTGGAGCACACATTTGAGAGGACAAGCTATAATGACCGTGGAAAACTTGTGGTATTTGTGAAGTTTATAGTACTACTCCCTATTTGGAAGGATTTTTTAAAAAGCATTTTGTGGACAGAAACAAAAAAATTAACTATTTGTATACTGCTGAGCTTCATATTCTGATATTTAAAGTACCTAAAAGGAAACTCACAGTAGTATTTAAACTGATTTACTGTTGAGGAGAAAATCCCATGATTTATTAGTAAAATTAATAAATTTCACTAATTAGTAAAAATAAAGATTTACTAAAACTTTAACTTTTGGAGTTCTGTTGCTATTTTAGCAACTAAAACTTGGTACTTTATCAAACAAAAAACTGCAAAAGACATTTTAATGAAATTTGTATGTGGTCAGTGTCTTAAAATTTTTAAATACATAAGAATTTTAAGTGCACAGATAAAGGGAATATGGAAGTGTTATTTGAAACATGTTAAAAATGCATACTTATAGCCTGCTTCATTCAATGTTTCTCAGCTGTGGCAGACCATATAATCAAGGGAACTCTGCTGATGGGGCATTGGGAAGTGGCAATGCAGCTACACATTCACCAAATAGAACAGGTAATTCTTTTATATTTTTTTTTAAAAAAGTTTATTATGGAACTACAATTTGATCTCAAAATCAAGTATGTTGAGAGCTACCTATCTTACCTTATTGCTTCCTGAAAATTTTCAATGTAAGCAAGCATCCAAGAAGGATCCTTAATGATTCTTAACTACCAATTAATAGACATTGATTGATTGCTTATTATGTACTAGGAACTGAGCTAGGCTTACATGGCCAAACAAATACTGAGCTAGGCTTACATAGCTAGACAATGTCGCAAAGGACCTTTGTGATGTGGCCTAGGTAATTCTACATATTGGTGCTATAAATGTCCAGGAACAAATATTCTTCTTCCATCAAAAAGATCTTAAGGGTATTAAGGTTTATATGAGGATGCTATTTGGCCACCTAGAGTGGCAATTCAGGATGCTTTGCACATTATATATTTGACTGAGAGCTTAATTTATTGTCTCTAGTATCTGTGAACTTTTTTTTAATTATTGCTCTAGCACCCAGGATGAAAAGGGAAGAAAACATTGGGGGGAAAAAAGAGAGAAATATCTGCTGTGCCTATCATTTGTCAATTGGTGGCAACATTTATGTAGAATCAGAATGTTTGCCTTCCTAAATCTCCATTTGTTTAGTGCATATAACTGAAAAAAACCCCAGATATTGGCATTACCTATGTTTTATTGCATTTTTATTTGTTTTGTTAAATATTTCCCAATTATATTTTAATCTTGTTCTGATAGAATTTAGGAGTATTGTGGGCTGGGTGTTTGGCATCTTTTATCATACATCCTGAAACTGGAAGAGAGAACTTTTTTTTTCAAAAGCACTATTTCTGACCACAATACCCATCTACTTTTAACTCTCATTTCACTTCCAAGATTGATGGAAGTCTTTTCAGACCTTTTCAGTATATTTCCTCCAAATATTTAGGATATTCTTTTTACATTTTTTTCATGGTCATCCATTTTTTCTATCTTATCTATAAGACATATGAGTAATTGGGAAAGATCTTTTCAGTTTGTTGTATTCAAGTCCTATTATTTATTATTTTAGATTAACAACAAGAAAACTTAGAATAATGTTTGTTATAAATTAGGCATTGACAACTGCCATGTTATTTCATTTTTTCAGTTCCTTAGTATGTTGTAAAACATCTATTTTATGTTTTCTCAGCTTTTCATATAATATTGAATAGCTAGGCTGCAAAGAATCCAAGATGAAGTTATGCCTTTGTAGGATTTTAATGATCCCAATAGATGTTAGTGGAAATTCAATAGAAAGATTTTTTTTTCACTTTTTCTTTTGTAGAAACTGTGGGCAGGTTTTTAGATGACATAGTTATGTTCAAGAAAAGAAATAAGTTGCTTTGTTTCAATATTTTTCTTTTATGGATTGTAATTCTTTCTTAAAGTTGCTTTTATTGATAAATATTTTGTCTGAAGAAAGTTTTCTAGTCATTTGGTAAGAACAAAATTGGGCCTTTAAATATCATAGTTAGATATTTTAATTTGTATAGGCTACTTAAACTAGAGCAAGCTTTTAAATTAAAGAATAAACTCTCTCTCTCTCTGTGTGAGTGTGTGTGTGTGTGTGTGTGTGTGTGCGCACGCACGTGCTTGCATTGTGAGTAGGTTATGAAAGCTGATCCCCATTCTCTTAGAAAGATATCTTGGTTATTCCTATTTTACTCCTGTTGCTACATAGATCATTTTAATCACTCTCCCTCTGGCCATGATGTTTCCTTGTTCTATACTTGGTTAGTTTTTGTTTGTTTGAATAAGTATTTATTAAATATCTACTATGTGCTGAACACAGTGGTAGGTGTTGGGGTTAAAAAGAACAGTCTCTGCCCCAAGAAACCTGTATTCTCTCATGTCAGGAAGCATGTCCCAATTGGAGTATATACAGAGTAAATATAAAATAAATACAAGATAATTTTGGGAAGGAGGACCCTAGCAGGTAGAAATGGGGGGATGGGCAAGAATTTCATGTGTAGGATAGAGCCTATGCCCAATCTAAAACAAAATTAAGGATTCTAAAAGGTAGAGGAGAGAAGGCAGTACATTCCAAGTATTGAGGACAGCTACAGAAGCCACAAAAGCAATAGAAAAGTGATACAAAAGCATAGAGTAATGAGAAAAGACTTTGCTTTTTCTCTTTTTTTCCTTTTTTTCTTTTTTGCCAAATACAAGGAAAATATACTGTCCATGCAGGTAGTAATTTTATGACCTCTATCTTTCCTTACCTTATCAGAGGATAAACTACAAAGTCTTCTGCTTAGCATTGAAAGCCTTTCTAAATCTTAGTCCAGCCTTTTTTTTTCCCCCAGGTGTTACTCTTTCATGATTGGACTCTATATTTTTGTCAAACTAGTCTGTTCACTGGTCCTTGAACTTGTGTGAGAAATGATTATTTCTCTCTGGTATTAATAACTAATTATTCAATCAGAACTAAGATTCTTCCCCTTTTCTATATCCTCACCTAGTAATCAACCAGTGTGGAAAATCTTTTTGAAAGATTTATCCAGGGCAAAATCTAATTAGATAGTAAAAGAAATTCTAAGTTTGGGCTAATGAGTACATTACTACTCATTGTGTTTGTTTAAATAGGTTTAGGAAGTGTTGATGCACCCTTTTGTCAGACAGATGATATGAAAATTGATAAGTTTATCTGACCAAGACTTGGAAGATTCAAGTCATGTACCACAAGACCCTCATTGTAATAAAGCCCACCCTCTCATTGTAATATTAATTCTCTCATTGGTTGTTAACCAGTCAGAGTTTTATTTTGTTTTGTTTTGTTTTTGCCACCCTCAGGAACACCTACTCTTCAAAGGACATGTAAACTATGATCCCACTGCCATTAGGGGTCTTTAGTCTAAAAGAGATGGATAAATGATCAGCCTTTTATTAATAAACATGCTGGCCTCATTAATAAAATGATTAAATTACTTAGAAATTATGTCTCTTGGAACATTTTTTTAAACATCACACTTTGCATTCCATCTTTTTTCTGTCTTTACACAGGCATGACCCCAATGTCTGGAATGCACTCTCTCCTCATGTTTCCCTCTTAGTATCCCTAGCTTTCTGCAAGGCTAACCTCAAGGATGACCTTTTAAAAGAAGCTATACTGATTCTATTCATTTCTTTCTCACCTCCATTGTTAGTCCACCCCCCTCCACATTACTTTGTATTTGCTTTGTGCTTATTTGTTATTTAATTTTCTGTTTACTTTTGTACCCTTTCAGTTGAACACAAGCTCCTTGACGGCAGAAATAGTTTGTTTTTTTTCTTTGTATCTCCTATACCTGGCACATAAGAGGTATTAAATGCTTTTTGAATGAATGAATTATGTAAGAGGTCTGGAAAAGCCACTGTTGTGAGTATGAGTCAATAAGAACACAGTAAGAAAAACAGAGGGAAATTTAAAGTTATAAAAATTTAGTCATTTTAAAAATTGGAAACTGACATAAGCAAATCACCTAATCTTTATAGTGTTTGAATATATTTGTTGAGGATACAGATAATGGGGAAGTTTTTGACTGTCCTGTTTTCTAAGGTCCTAATCCCTGGTTTTTTCTTCTGATGTTTATGCATGAACAAATTAAGAGAACATTATCTTGGCATTTAGAGTTGCTGTTTAACCTTGAGAGAAAATATACATCAAATGAGACCCAGTATTTCATTGTTATTAAAATAGGCAGTTCTCTCCTTGTTGCAGATGACACAGCTCAAGTGACTTCTGACTATGAAACCAATAATAACAGTGACAGCAGTGATATTGTCCAGAATGAAGATGAACAAGAGTGCTCTAAAGATTCATTGAGGAAAGAATCTCAACACAGCTCATGTACCCCTGAAACCATCGTATTTATGGTAGCTTCATATCACATCATTTGTTCATTTGTATTTCTTCATTTTGCTTTCTAATTCTAATTTAGAAATTAAGATGCAGTACACAATTTAGGGCAGACTTGAAAATACTTTTTTAAAAAATCATTCTTCCTATAAAATTATATTGGACTTTAACAATTTTGTCTGAGAGATGAAAGATTTTCCTATCAGTTGGTTAAGAACAGAAACGTCTATCTCTAACAAATGCTCTGAGTAACCTTTACTTCCATCTTTTTAAAAGTACAAATACTTTTGGGAAAATCCACTCAATAAATATGTATTTTTAAATGTTTTCCAGTTCTTTTAAAAAATCTTGGGGTTGTGGCAGGTAGGTGACACAGTATTTAGAGCACTGGCCCTGGACTCCAGAGGATCTGAATTAAAATTTGGCCTCTACTAGCTTACTAGCTGTGTGACCCTGGGCATGTCACTTAACCCAAATTGCCTGTAAAAAAAATCTTGCTAACACTTCCTAGTGACCCCTACCCCCCTAGAGCCCTCTCTTGAAACAAAGAATTACAACCAAGCAAAACAAATCAATACATATGCCATGTTTGACAATGTATGCCTGTGCCCACACCTGGATTTTTGGAGTAAGTATGCTCCACCAACAATTCACTGAAGTCATGATTAGGCAATGCAATGATCAGAATTCTGGTGTTGTTTTCCTTCACATTAATATAGTCATTATGTACATTATCCTCTCAGTTCTGCCTAATGCACTCTGAATCACTTCATACAAATTCTTCATCATCCCACATCTTTTTAATTTTATTATTTCTCAGAGTACAGTAATATCCTATTAGATTCTTATCCAACAGTTCAGATATTTCTCAATTGATAGACACACTTTGTTTCTAGTTCTTTGTTTAAAATAAAAAGTGCTGAAAATAATATTTTTGTATATGTAGCGCCTTGTCTTTTACCCTTTTAGAGGTATGTACCTAGTAATAATATCTCTGGGTATTTACAATTTAGTGGCTTTTCTGGTTATGATACCCAGTTATTTTCTGGAGTGGTTGAAATGATTCCCAGCTCAAACAACAGTTGATTAACATGTCTCAATAAATAATTTTAAATTAAACAAGAAGAATTGGGGGGACAGGTAAAATACAAAATTTCTTTAGGTCTTGTGCTTCTTTTCATTAGAACAGTCTTGATTTTTGATCAACATTAGACATTTGGACAATGTTTGCTTTCATGGCTACAACAAGCTATGTTTATATTGTCATTTTCTTTTAAGTGAATTATCATTCTATTATCTATTTGTTATTATATATCATAAGTGTATCTAAAATTCTAGTGTTAATTTTTTTTCTTATTGGAGTTACAGTTAAACAAAATAAAGAATATCGTACTTAAGTCAGTGTGGTATAGCAGAGAGAGTAGATCAATGGACAATCAGGAGACAATAGTTTTAGTCCCAGCTCAGTCAATACCTAGCTGGACGACCTAGATTCTTTAATTTTTCTCTGTTTCCATTCAATATTTAAATGAGATGAAGGGAAGGTGAAGTAGAAGACTAAGTGATCTCTAAGGTCTCCTCCGGGTCTAACATTCTGTAATATTTGTTGTTGAATGATTGATCATTTTTTCCCTGTCATCTCTCTACTTAATTACATTTAAATGTCAAATTAAAAAGATATTCACTTTGTTTGGCAAGTCAAATCAATTTTTGTACTTTTAAAATGATTATGTAATTGCTTTTGTCGGACCACACTTTAAATATAGGGATAGCCCTGGCCAGGGATGGAATGTGCCTATCCAAGCTGGTAAGAGTTCATATGCCTAGTATCTTACCAATTTAACAATAATTTTTTTTTAAACTGAAAAGGATGATAAAGGAGAAAATTGCCTAAGTATCCACCAACCTAGATACCATTGGAAGAAACTGTAATGTAGGAACAACTGCTTTTGAGACATTCAGAAGCCTACAGGAGAAATTCAAGAAAGTAGCCAATAGTGAAACCCAATGTAAAAAAAAAATACATGTATATAAATACCCAAAATGTAGGCAGTGAACAAATGAAACTAGACACTAATGCAAATCTAACCTTACATAATAGATACCATTGATATTTGGTGGGATGAGGTTAATAACTGGAATATACCTCTGGATAGGTTACACTTTATTAAAAACAAGTGAGATAGGTAGAAGGGGCTGTGGTGTTATTGTATATGGAGAAAATATATTCATGAGAAAATCTAAGAACCAAAACTGTTGAAATGTGATAGAGAGTATTAGGATGAAAATTAGCAAAGGGACAAGTAAAAAAAGATTTTATCATCAGAACATATTATAACTGTACAGTAAGAGGAAATAGTTGAGGAGAAGAGTATTTGTAGACTCAACACTTTTTCACTTCTTTTAAAACCTAGGTTATTCTTCTTAGATCCTGTAGTACCTATGCCATTCTCTCTGGTCTTTCAAAGAGTACCAATATTGGCTTAGCAACCACATCTGCCAATGCTTTCAAGACTCTTGAATGTAGTTCATTTGGGCCTTAAAGCAAAAACTCACCAAGGACAATGAGGCTTTCTTTCACTATCTCCTGGCGTATTTTAAATTTTGACTCTCTAATGACCATTTTTCCTATAATTTCTAGTCCAAAGATTGTTTCTCTTTTGAAGAGAAAATAGAAACAAAATAAAAATTAGTGAAAATGTAGAACTATTAATTGGTTGTCATTGGTAAATCTGCTGAGAACAGTGGTCATATCGCATTGATACTTCTCTTTTTTTTTTTAGTATAACTTGGAAAAAAACCCCTATATTGTCTTTATCCTCCACTGTCATCCATTAATTCAAAACTTTAGTGTCCCTGACAGTAATTTTGAAGGATAATACCCTGCTATTCAAATACTATTTGCATTCATTCATCATTACCTGCTCTGAATCTTTTATGTGTTTTAAAATGTTATGTTAGATACCACTACTAAGTCTGTATATCAAACAGATTTTTTTAGGAAAAAATATTTATATCAGCTCTTTTTGTGGTGCAAAGAATTGGAAATTGAGGGGATGCACATCAACTGGTAAATGGGCTGGAAAAGTTGTAGCATATGATTGTAATGGGATACTATTGTACTATGTGAAATGATGAGCAGGATGATTTTTACATGAACTGATACAGAGCAAAGTGAGCAGAACCAGGAGAACTTTTTACAAAGTAACAGCAATATTGTTAGATGAAGAATTGTGAATGACTTAGCTATTCTCAGCAATACAGTGATCCAAGACAATTCCAAAGGACTCATGATGGAAAATGCTATCCACATCTAGAGAAAGAACTGATGAAGTATGAATGCAGATCAAAGCACACTATTTTTTACTTTATTTGTGTTTTTTTGTCTGTGGTTTCTTTCACAATATAACTAATATGGAAATATGTTTTGCATGATTGCATATGTATAACCTATATTAAATTGCTTACTGTCTCAGGGAGGAGGGAGTGGAGAAAGGGAAGGATAGAATTTGGAACTCACTTTTTTAAAAGAATGTTAAAATTGTTTTTACATGCAATTGAGAAATAATAAAATATTTAAAAATAAAATTTTGTTATTCAATGAATTCCCAGTGTATCCATGAAAGTTTCTTTAGATAACTCCCCATTCCTCCTATGACAGAATTGTTTTTTTAATTTGTGTTCCTACCCTTTGAGCTATGTTCCTTTGAGTTTCCTATCCCTTCTTGGGTGGCTTCTCTTGTAGAATATTAGATATTGGGATCCTATTGATCTTTTCTTCAAATGCTTTCAAATCTATCTTCCAGAAATGTAAGATAAAGTGATCACTCACCCACAAGCTTCATTACTGTGTCAGAATAGCACACAAAATAACATTTCCCTTCATTGTTTTCACTACCTTTTGAAGAATGGAATTATATTTAAGGTTAATCAAGAAATTTTAGCCTCTCTACTTTTGTCAGGTAGAGAAACAAATATCATACTTCAATGTCAGGCTTTTTCTGAAATGCCTCATCCATATTTCCATTCTTCTCAGGTGGTCTGTAGAATATTCAGATGCTTTTGTTTCTCTCTACATTGATACTAAACCTGATTCTCTCCAGTCAGTATGTTTCTTCCTATATCCATCTGGTTCCTGAACATTTTCACAGGAGTGTATCTTTTTAATATCTAATGCTTTTCTAAGCTCTCTTTTGCTTGTTGTATTTAGCATTTATTAGGCACCTGCTTTGTGCTATGTACCATACTGGATAACTGGATATACAAAGACTGAAATAAAACTGTCTCTGCCTTCAGGAAACTTGTATTCTATCAGAGAGCAAATATATCCTCCATAGACATATTTCACCTCTAAGTTCCATACCAGAAAGTCTCAAAATTACCTAGGAGGTAAATTTATCAATGTGCATCAGGAACTTTTGTTCACTGTGCTTGTCACCTTGGCTTTATAAACTTGAATCTCTAAACCAATGGGTTTTAATCCTTGTTTCTTTCTTGGTTTTTGTATCCTGTAAAGTTTTAGATCTCTCTACTACTTTTCTTATTTCTACATTATAATCATGGTCTATATCTCTATGTCCCCTAACATGGCAGAAGTACATTGGCAGTTTTTTACCCTTCCATTTCATTTAAAACCCTTTCTGAAAACTCCAGTAAAATACCTTTTTTAACCAGTCCATTCTATCCTAGGGCAGAAGTCTATCATTCTTTTAATTTGTGATCTAGAAATCCTATTTTTAATCACTTGTATATGGGTAACATCCAAGGAATAGCTGGTGTCTATCATAATTCCCATTTTACAAATAGAAAAGCATACAAATGGGGAAGCATTAATGTAAATTTGAACATTCAGATTAAAATGCAGTGGCATCATCATGTTATAAAGGGAACATTTAGTTATTATGTGTTTATGTATGCCTGGTTTAGCAGTAGATATTATGTAAAACAAGTTTAAAGGTATCTGCCTACGTAGGGTTCATCTGATTATAATACTTGTTATTCAGATTCTTAATTTAAAGTTTTGGTTTCCTTAGTATTTTAAATGAAGAGTTGAAAACCTTGCAATTTTGAATCATCACCTGAACAAATGTACCTTCATTTTTAAAATACTGACATAATGTATAAGACTTTTTAAAACTAGAACTATATGCCAATAAAATATTTTCTTCTCTGATCTTTATAGCCAGATAAGCCTATTCTTGCTCCAGAGCCTCTTGTCATGGATAACTTGGACTCGATAATGGAAAAACTAAATACTTGGAATTTCCCAATCTTTGATTTGGTGGAAAAGATAGGGAAAAAATGTGGCCGAATTCTGAGTCAGGTAAGAATATAACAGTTAGCATTTATTAGTGCTTTAAGATTTGCAAAGCTCTTAGATGTTATTTTATTTGATCCTCACAAAAACTCTGTGAGGTAGGTGCTTTTATTGTTCCATTTTACAGATGAGGAAATTGAAGTACAGAAAGATTAAGTCACTTGCCCAGGGTCATATACCTAGTAAGTGTCTGTGACAGAATTCTATGTTAAAATTTCCTAACCCTAAGTCCTCCCACCTGGTTGCCTCATTTGTAGATATGGGTTTGTACTCATCCCTCAAAATATACAGTACCCTAAAGCCATGAAAGCTTATAAAATAACTGCTTGTTTAAAGAATGGATATATATATATATGTGTGTGTATATATATATATATATATATATATATATATATATGGAGAAGACCTAAATCTCCTCACTCAGCCTTTAACAGATTACAGCAGATTCTTTCAATGTTATAGGACATAAAAATAATGAAAATAACCCTACATCTAAGAAGTGTTTACGTGGTGCCACTCAAATTGATCTGTGACAATTTCTCTCATACAACTGAAACCTGAGTTTTCAGGAATCTTGATTTTGTATGGCAGAACATAGTATGATGACCTTCTAGCATTTCTAGTGTTTTACAACATGTCACATAGAATCCCTATGACCATATGGTCCAATTCAGTTCAACAAACATTTTATGTCAGGCCTGTGTACTATGTGTAATGCACTATGTTGTCATAATATAACAATTTGTTATTGTTGTGGACCTGGGATTTCAGTTGTGTAGAGAAAGTCTAGTGTGGAAAGTGTTGATGCAGACCTGACTGGGGCACTGAGAGATTAAGTGACCTGACCTTAGTCACTGCTACTATTGTATGTATTAGAATATGCACATACATGCATGTACATCTAGTATGTATGTACCTCCATGCAATAGACAGTATATCAATAAATTCTGCAATTTCCATTATTATGGAATTAAAGGAAATTAAATGGTTCAAGTGATTATTATGGCTCTCTTTTTTACAATTACAATATTTTGTGGTTTTCCAAATAATTTTGTTTTCTTTTTATATTTTCTATGAGTAGTACAAATTAACTATGACTGCCATGGAATTTTTAAAATGTAACAGAGAAATTGGCATGTGTCTAAAAAACAAGCAGAAATTGCTTAGAAAATTTAAATGACTTAATGTCTTTATGAACATTCTCAAGATGTCTTTTCTTTAGCCTTTGAATATTAAACTGAATCATGATCTGATTTAAAAATTAATTTGTAGACTTGGAAGTTTTCTTTGAAAATACTATAAGAAACATTAAAGAGCATTTTAATCTATCAAATCAAATGTTTTTTATGTTGACAATAATTACAATAGGGTTTTGTAGTTTTCTATATCTTTCAATTAATTGTGTAATGGTAAAGGTAAGACCTACTGTGGAATATCATATTATGAAGGCCTTCTTATTCTGGAATAATAATTTCATAAAGCATAGCTTTGATGTATGTATAGATTATTATCAGAAAAACTTAATGTAGATGAGAAACTAAATATGCAGGTTTGTAGCATTGAAGCTTTCCCAGGCATCTTTTTTGGTAATTAAAAAGGTCTGAGATTTTTTCAATGCCTTTGGCATTTTTACCTTCCTTCAAATTCCTTGTGAATCAATTTCTAAATATCCTCACAGTTGTTACTTTAGAAAATCTTCTCTATGTACAGAGACTCTAATCCAATCACTTATATTTTGCTCTCAATAATGTAATTTCTTTCTTTCTCTATAAGCATATCTGAGAGTAGGACATTAAAATCAAAATGTGATGGCTCCACTGTCCTTGAAAGTGATAAAATGCTCATCAAGAACTTATAACCTTTCCATCTTTCTTTTGTTTGATGTCCTACTTCAGGTTTATACCTAAATGTTCTCAGGATGATTTTGCTTAGTCGAGTCTTTTGCTAGGCTTTTTTAATATGGTTTTATCCTCTACTACTTTTTTCTGTTTTATGAGGTAACATTATTCATAATATTCTACCATCTTTCTCTATAAGATTTTTTTTACTGTAAACTTTAATTATACAAAACTTAAAATTTAAGTCATTGTTTCCCTTTGCTGCCACAGCTCTCTTGCTGGCAAGAGTCATGGTAATTGCTGAATAATGCAGTTTGTAGGCTTTTTTGACCTCTATGTTATGGCATTTAATTCACATTAAAATTGGTTTCTTTGTCCTTTCTTCCATCAATATGCCATTTTTGTATCAATAATTTGCCTAAATAACTGAAGCTGGAGTTGTTTTAATTGCATGGAATATCTATTCCTAGCTTTTATTTTTTTAGCTTTGTATCAAACATGATCTTTGCTCTGATAAGTCAATGATATAAATGTATCTAGACAGCTTATTCAGAAATGCTTCCCTCATCAGTAATAAATCATTTCCTATCTTTAAAATATAATTAATTTTACTTTTCTGTTGTTATTTAATGCTTGCCATTTTCTGCATCCCTCAGTTCTTTCTTTTTAAAAGAAAATATTCATGATATATAAACATGAGGTTTCTGCAGAGTCTACAAATCTCTAGCTTCTCATCTCTTACTCCTGATATACTTTTCTGAACTAAAATTTTTCCATGTTCATATATTCTCATCTTTGTATTGAAGTAACTCAGTTTCAAAATATATATGTATTTAGTTTGGCAAAGGTGATAAAAGAAAAAAAAGTAATTCTACAGGGGCTTTGGGAATATAGGCACAAGTTTGTTTTTTGGTTGAGCTGTGAATTGGTCCAAATGTTTTCAAAAACAATTTGGAATTATTCTAAAAAGTTACTAAATTCTACATGCCCTTCAGACCAGTAATATGATGACTAGTCATAGACACTAAAGAGGTCAAAGATAGGGAATATTAATAGCGACATTTGTATAGAACAAAGATAGATGTCCATAGATCGGGGGAATGACTGAACAAATTGTGGCATGTGGATTAATGGAATATTATCATATCCTGAAAATAATGAATATGAAGAAATCAGTACCACTTGAAAAGATTTGTGAGAAATACAGAGAGCAGTAGAACCAGGAAGACATTTTACATAATTACCACAATAATGTAAAGGAAAAACAAAATTGAAAGATATCAAAATTCTGATAAATGTGGTGAATTCAGATATCTCAATGGTGAAGCATGCCTTTCTCTGTTTAGAGGAGCAAAAGGGCTACAAGTGTGGAATGAGATAGTTGTTGTCAGATGTGGCCAATATACTGTTTTACCTAATGGTGTGTAGAGAGGGAACATAGTAGAATGAATCACTGGGAAGTGATAGACTTTTTTTTTTTAAAGAGTACCAATCAAACTTTAAAAAAAGTTGAGAAAAACTAACTAAGCAAAATCATTCTAAGGGAATTTAAGGATGAAGTATGAAAAACAACAACAAATAGATGGAAAATGGAAAAGATTTATGAAGATTTTTATAACAAACTTTTTTTGCCATCACTGACAGAGGAGTCACCACATTTGGAATCTAACATCACAATCACCAATGTGCTGCATGAGAAAGTGGAAATAGTGTTGAAGAATACAAAGATGGGAGAAGCAGCTGAACTAGACCATGTATACACAGAAGAGGTCCATGCTGGAGAAAGCACAATTTTGAGGGCATTGAGGGATCAACTTTCAAGGTAACCAAAAGATGGGAGATACCAAAAGCTTGGAAAAAATCTAGAACCACATTACTTACCAAAAAGAAGCCTAATGAGAGAATATCAATGATTATTGAACTATATATCTACTTTCTCATCTATCCAAAAATTTTATGAGAATAATATACATATATCAAGGACATCTTTGATGGACATTTAAGATGATAGGTTTCCACAAATAATATTCTATTTCAGACTACATCTTTGCTATCACACTCTTGACTTGAAAGGTATAGAGGACTTGCAATTGAATTGTGAGTATTCTTTCTTGAATATAAAGAAGCATTTTATATGGTAAAGGAAGATGCTGACTTATAGCTTGCCCTGTAGAATGGCATCTCCAATGCACATATCAAAATCATTAAGGTTTGTTCAAAGATAAAATATAGGAAAATTTTGGTCAACCTTATTATTAATAATCAAGAAAGACATACATTTGATGTTCAGTATAGAATACAAATTGGACAGTTTCCTTATAAATGGTGAAGTCATCCAGAAACTCCTGTTTATGAATGATATAGTGCTGATTACATCAAGCTCTGGAACACTGCAGAGGCTCCTGAGATCCACAATTACTCAAAGAATTCAACCTAACTATCTACGAAGGAAAAACTGAAAGAATGAAGAATGTCTGTTAACCACATTATGGTATGAAATCTGATGAATAACTCATAGAGCTATCCCTTTTGTGTGTATATATGCATGGATACATATACATACTGCCTCAACCAGATGCCATGAATGGACACTAAAGCAGGATAAGAACAATTTATTGCTTTTGGGAAGTAGTGACATGCTTTTAATGATTCCAAGCTTCTCCTTGAAAGAGAGGTCTCTCTTTTTTAACAAAAAAAAAATTAATATGATACTGGAAATTACAGAATCCTATACTATAATCTCTCAAGAATTAAAGGGAAAGATCACCCAAATGTCAGTGAAGAGACATGTGGTAGATGTGAAAAGTTTATAATGTATCACTAAGGAAAGATTTTACAGAAGTGGTATAAAGGTTATCAGAGAGATTTGTGACCAAAAATAAGATGGACTGTTATATGAGAAGATGAGGAAAATAGTACATGGTTGTTTCTCATGCTTTATTGGCATTTTCACATGTCAAGACATCTTGAAGACCATCTCCACCTCAATACTGGATGAACCCTTTTTGGAAGATTTATAGGACTACATTGGTAAGAATTATCCAGGATGAGAAAACATGAAGAGGTTGCAATCCTCATTGTTGGAGCATCATCATCATAAAGAACATAATCCATCAAAATGTCAAAGTCATCATAGAGAATAAAAAGTTGTGAAAAAATAATTAGTAA